AAGTGGAGTTAGAGCAGGTGATTTCGTTCTTACAAAAAAAGAAAAAGAAAGAAAGAAAAAAAAGGAAAGTATATTGAAAATGGTTCTCTGTCCATAGTTGAGCACAGCATAGAATTTCCCTTTTTCGGAGAACATGTACCTACAGCATTATTTGAGGCTCAAGCAAGGTGTCAGGGTGAATGGCAGGCAGTCCCAGTGGGATACAGAATGCTGGTTCTCAGGAAAAGGCTACATCTACAGCCTTCCGTGTGGGGAGGCCCTTGAGAGGCAGAGGTACCCTGTGGTGTGTGGTTTGCAGAGCTGTCTCTGGAGGGACACAGTCAAGTAAGGGATTGAGGGTACCCGGTAGAGGTGTTGGGGGCGCTTGTGGATCCAGTTCTCCTTCTGGGGTTTCTCCTCTCATTAGTAAAGAGTTTACAATGGGAACAAACAGAAGCCTTAGGTCCATTTTATCAGAGTTTAAAAGAAAAAAAAATCTCAGGGCGGGCAAGCTGTAAACCTCAGCTGCTGTCTGGCAGAGACAGTGGAGGGAGTGGGATGGGGATGGGGTTATACCTTTTAAGTCAGTGTAGAGGTCATACTCTTGGTGGACAACAGCCCCGTGGAAGGGAGGGAACTATCCAGTAGAGTAAGGAACCCCAAAATGTTGGGCAAAAGTTAAGGAAAACATGCTTGGAGAAGAGGGAAAGGAAAGAGAGAAAGTAATGTTTTTCTGAATAACTCAGGAAAGCTTGCAGACTCTATATGCCTATGGGCCCTGAGCTTCTTCTCCAGGGATGGAGTTCTAAGAATGCAAAGTACAGCCCTGTTAAAGGACTTTTTATTCTGCCACCTCTTTAGCATGGCCCAAGGTAGCTTCATCTCCCCAGGGGTGGCCCTTAGCCAGAGGAATTAACCTACTCAACTGGAATGTTAGATCTCCACCAGGTCAGAGGGTCTAGTCTCTTGGCCAGGAGGTTTTTCTGCTATAACATTTATATTTAAATCTAGGTTCCGCCTAAGTGAGAAAACATGCAATGTGTGTCTTTCCGAGCAGGGCTTGCTTTCTTTATATCTGCTTCCCTGAGGAGGGCAGGACACTGGCTCCTGAAACTGAACTTGTCTAGACCACTTGTTCCCTACCTTTCTCTGGGAGCAGTGTCTGCATGGAACCCTTTCTCTCAGCTCTAGTCCCTGTGGGACACGAGGCCAAGGGTTCTATTGAGGATTTTGCGGTTCTGGAATGTCTTCTCTTTCTTGATTTCCGGCTGTCAATCACTGAGGTTGCTTCTTCCTTAGAGACACAGCGTAATTGCATATTTAATAATTACCACAGCCTCGGGAGGGTGATGGCTCGGCTTTAGGTGTTTTAAGTTGCCACCCACAGTCAGGTTGGATGATGGAGTCCTGTTGCTATCTGTGCAGCATCTTCCTGATGCTGCAGATGAGCGGGAGGATTGAAATATGTTCTGCTGGTACAGATGCACCTTGGCTCGCTGTGGGGATATTTGTCTATAATCTAACAAATAAAGCTGAGAGTTCAGAGAAGCAGTGCAGCCAGCCACTAGAGAGACCTTTGACCTATACTGAATCCTCAGACTGAAGGGGCGATCCTGTCCCTGCTAATTCTCAGACTGCATGCTCAGACTGCATCTGAACTCCTGTCTGCTTCAATCTTACATTCCTCTCTCCACCCAGCCCTATCCCTATGTGTCTCCACTTCCCTAGTGCTGAGTTTAAAGGCATGTGACTCCCAAGTACTGGGATTAAAGGTGTGAGCTACCACCTTCCGGCTCTGTTTCTCTTTTAGACTGGATCAATTTCACGTGGCCCATGGTGGTCTTGAACTCACAGAGATCCACCTGCCTCTGTCTCCTGAGTGCTGGGATTAAAGGTGTACGCCACCACTGCCTGGCGTGGTGACTAACTAGTGACTTAGCTCTGCATTCTGACCTTCAGACAAGCTTTATTTGTGAGATTACAAACAAAATATCACTACAGGCCACCTCTGGACCATCATCAGATCCCTGCTGCCAGTTTCTCACTGTTTCCTTTCCTCATTTCTGTGACAGAATGCAGAGATAAACGGTTAAGGAAGAGTGGCAGCAAAGGTTCTGTCCATGGTCACTTGGTCCCATGCACTTGGGCAGAACATGAGAACTGGAATGTGTGGCAGAAGAACCTGGAGAGATGGCTAAGCAGTGGTGAGAGCGTGTATGCTTCTTCCAAAATACCCGAGTTCAATTTGAAGCACCCATTTCAGGAAGCTGAGCGACCTATCCTAACTATAGCTCCAGGGGATCCAAAATCTCAGCCTCCATGAACACCCACAAACATGTCACACACTCATAAAGACCCACAAATACACATAATTAAAAATAAATTTGAAAAAAAAAAGACAGGAAGCAGATAGAGAAGCAGGCTGAGGAGCTAGTGTAACACTTGAAAGCTCCCCCGAAATGCCGACTTTCTCCAGTCATTTAGCCCTTCCTGAAATTTCCACAACTTCTCCCGATGGGCTATCAGCTGGGTTTCATATTGGAAACCATGACAAGTTGACAGTATTTGTAAGCTAAGGATGTATCTAATGCACAGGTCCGTGGAGCCTTCCAGATTAGCATCACAACATACTGTAGCACGTGGGCGGTTTCTCCTAGCAACCACAGAGCTGGTTGGAATGCCAGGCTCCCCGTCACTGCCTGCAGTCACAGGAGAGGATTTTACTACTCATCGCTAGCCCAGGAAAAGAGCCCATTTAGGAACTGAAACTGGTTTCCACTCCATTATAAACCAAAAACACTCTGACTTATGAATGCCACGTGTATTCAACATTTATGAGATCATCACATATGTCAGCTATTATGTGTCTATGGATGACCTTAATGGAAATGATGCTGAAATTGACATACTTAAACATTTAGCTTTTTCTCCTTTGAAAAAGATTTCCACAAATAGTGCTGCTAGAGTAAGTACTGAACACAGTCTTCCCGTGGCACAATGCAGACTGCTCTCCTGAAGAACTAAAGCCAATTATGTTGTCTTAAATGAGAAAGCCATGACGATTGCACACTGTCATCCCAAAGAGAAAGTCTATCATGGTAATACTTCCCCAAATAAATACAAGCTATTGATAACAATGACATTTGTAATGCTTACTGTTTGGCAAATGTTCTTGGACACAAAAAGCATTCAGCTCCTTCAGAATACAGTCTCTGTTGGGTGTACTCACGTGACGTCTTCCCACAGGATCTCCAGCGAAATGCTAAGACCCTGAGCATGGAACAGAACCCGGGAGGTACTCAGACCCTCCCCTTAGGTCTAAACTTGTGTCTGCCTCCCACTCTAACACTGTGGCTTCATTTGATACATGTCCTTGTGGTATGCTAGTTCATATCCCCCAGTTTGCTGTAAGCCCTTGGTTCCATTTCTCCTTTGGCCTCTTGATTTTGGGGAGTTAACGCAAAGACAGAAGGTCTTTGTATTTGATTCACCAGGTAGGCATCACAACCTAGCGTGCTTTTCAGTATTTATTTATGAATGTCAAGTTACACCCTTACCTCCAGTGGTGGAATAGACAACTGGTTTACATGCACAAGGAGTTTCCAGCTCACATGTCCATGAGCCCTTCATGTCTTTTCCATGACCTTCAGTGTTCTGTTGTCTATGGGAAGATACCCAGGAATCCTACCCTTTCCAACGATGTCTGAGGATCTCACCTGGCCTCTATGTTAATTACCTTTTCGTCACTGTGCTGGATTTTCAAAAGTAAGGATCGCAGGAGACAGGGTTAGTCTGGCTCACAGTTTTGAAGAATTCAGTCCCGGTTGCCTGGGCCCTGTGTGCTTGGACAGAAAGTTATGCTGATGAGAATGGGGAGAAATGGCTGGATAGTTCTGCACGTCGTGGTGGATAGGAAGCAGTGTGTGAAGAAGGACCTCGGTGGGTATGGTCATCCACCAGTGGCCAGTCTTCTAGCTAGGCCCCGCCTCCCAATACTCCACCTGTGTTCAACACAGGAGCCTGTGAGTTTTATCACAGGGCCACCAAACACCCCTTTCGACAGCTGCTTCTGCAGTATGCCCAGGTGCCTTTGAAAAGGGAGTCAGGATATTCTTATATGAATCGGTGGCTCCAGAGATGGAAAGACAGCAGCATGGGTAGGAGCTGTCTGTGTGTGTGTGGGTGGGGGGAGTTGTTTAGCTCTGAGATTTGTGTGGACGGACCAGCTCACATTGCTGATTGGCGGGTGAGCCTGCAACAACAGCACAGGAGCACACACGCTGTCACCCTCGCTAGTCTTTACTTGGAAATATTTAACTACCTAAGACAGGATCTCACTGTGGAGTCCTGGCTGGACTCAAGCTCAGGAAGCTCCAATCGCCTCTCTTCTCCTCGCCTCTCCTAAAGACATAAACCACCACACCGGGTAGCACGCAATTATTTTAATGATGAAACGCAACAAGTAGTTATTATAGCAAGTGTGCAAAGAGTAATTGCTAGCTTCGTGAGTCTGCAGTTCTGTATTTCTAGAAACATAAAATAAAATGAAGATGATTTTCTATATTATTTGTACCAAATGATGAAGTTAAACAAAGCAGAGCGTAGTAAGCATCTGGTAACACAGAGAGTGCTGGTGTGTTTCCCTTATATTCAAAGAGAAACACCAGATCCTGTTCACTCAGTATTCTGGACTGGTCTTTTGATCATTGCTTCTCTTGCTTTCTAACTTAGTTTATGCCTGCCACTTCTTGTCAAGGTAGTAAACCCTGTCAGATTTCTTTGTGTGTGTGTGCTGTGATTCTATGGATGCATACACTAGGTGCTTACTAAATGCATGTGGTTATAATTCTCTACCTACTAACTGTCTCTTGACTCACTCAGGATGGTACCTGGAACTTGGAAGAAACACGGATTTTAAATATTTATATCCTCAGGAGCCAGCTGCCCTTGGCTTCCTTCTCTATAGTCCTTTGGTGCCCGACAGGTGCTGGGAGCTTGATGTCGCATGTTTGTCATTTCAGCTTACGAGTTACAGAACTGCCCGGACCCACCTGCGTTCCAGAATGGATTCATGATCAACTCAGATTATAGCGTGGGCCAGTCGATCTCCTTTGAGTGCTACCCAGGCTACATCTTGCTGGGCCATCCTGTGCTTACCTGCCAGCATGGCACTGACAGAAACTGGAACTACCCTTTCCCGCGATGTGACGGTAGGCTCATCATCTCCCTTGGGGACAGCTGAGCTTCTTGTAGGGAACACAGTCAGGAGCTATTCTATGAAAATGCATTAGTTCAGTCAGCAGAGGATTTCCTTTCCCATTGACATTCCCTATAATAGACTAAGAAATACTTAGTATAAATACATACATAAACACACAGTAGGAAGTTTCGAGAATGTACAGTCTTTATGCTTAAGGAAGCTGTAAAGAAAACAAAGTATTGGATGCAAACACTGAAAGCTCAACTTCAGATCACAGGAACCTGCCAATCATCACAGACCTGACAAAGAAACTGGGAGGCAATGGGGCTCCTTAACCTTTCCAGTGTCTCCAGGGGACAAGGATGACAAAGGCTTTAATCCTGGGAAGTCTTTCTTATTATTAGTTACTTGTCTTGTTGCTATGATGGATTTCCTGACAAGAGCAACCTAAGGAAGGAAGGGCTTATTGTGGCTCCAGTTTGAAGGTGTCTTCCATCATGCTGAGGGCAGGAAGAAGAGGCAGCTGGTCACAAAACATCTAGACAGGGGCACAGAGAGGTGGATGCTGGCACGCAGTTGGCTTCCTCCTTCTCATTCAGTCGAGCATCCCAGCCCACAGGATGGTTGTGCCAACATTTGGGGTGGATCTTTACCTGTTCACCTCATCTAGAAAACCCCTCCCAGGTGTGCCCAGAGGGCTGTCTCCATGGTGACATTAAATCTCATCTAGTTAGCAGTGAAGATTAGCCATCCATGCTATTGTTTGTTCGGCTTTTATAGTCACTTTGCATCTCTCTTGCAGAAAACAGTTCATTGTCGTAGGGGACCTTGAATGGTTCATAGTATTTGCTGCTCAGAGACAGAACACTCTAGATGGAGGGCACAGTATTAGCAGAAGCACACAGAAGGAATTTTTCCAGAAAACTGAAGTCTAACTGGGTGGGTCGTTGCTGGAGTTGCTAGAATCAGTGCCTGGGCCCTGGGTGTTCTAAGGAGCTAGGCTTAGCAGCCCCTTCTCAATAGCTCAACTAAAGAAACAAGTAATTATGAAAATTTTGTGTTCGCTGTAGTCACATTGGGACAAGAAATAAAGGAATAGCAGCCTTCAACTTCCAAGTCTATCCCTGAGGTCCTGACAGGAGACTGAGTTTTAAACAGAAGGCAAGAGGTATAGACAATTAGGAGCCCTTGCCACGGTGTGGTCCTGACCACCACTGGCCACCATTGTCTCAATCCCAGGCCCTTGTGAAAGGGAGTCTTACAAGTTATCAGAACTGTGAGGCGCTAGCTATTGCTGGGCCTCAGACTTTTCTTCTTCGAGCCTGAGATGCGTGGGGAAGCGTCAGTTTCTTGCCCCACATTATTCCAGTAGTCTGAGAGCCAACGGGAGGGGCACAACCCTGTCTTCAGAGTACCTCCAGCAGCCAGCCAGGATGGTGACCTAGGATGCTGAGCACTGAGCAGGAGTAGAGTGTGATCCAGGTGCACACATACATAGGGTGTTGCCTCAGAGCAGAAATGATACTGCCTCGCTTCACGGTGGCTTCCTGACTTTTCAAATGACTTAGGCATTTCTGCCACGTCAGGCTAAAACAAACTGATGAGGCCTGGCATCTATGAGGAGGTGCCTGCAACAGAGAGCTCGCTGCCAAGCCTGGGCCCTGCATTACATATGCAGCCACTCTGAATGAATAATAATGAAATCTCCAACTCTGTGGACCTTTGAAATGTTAAGCACCCCTATCTCCTGAGGAAGGGAAGGTACCTAGCTGTGAATTTTTACTGAAGCAGTGGGGAAAAAAAAGTATGTGGTATGCTTTTAAAACTCATCTCACCTATATTTTTCAATCTGATAATCTTGAGAAATCTTAGCTGTATTTAAAAATTCAAACACTTATTCAATTATGTATAAAATAGTATTTTTAATGTGTCTAGAATTTTTTGCTTCTCACTAAGGTGTGTTAAATAATATTTACATCTACTTTTCGTTTGAAAACTCTTACTTAGGGGTGAGGGTGCAGTAGAAGCTGAGCATATATTCAACCCCATCTTCACCCAAATAAACCAAAGCATGAACCAACAATAACACCCTCAGTGAGTTCTAGGAATCTCTCTGTTTCTCCTGACACTGGGGGTGTAGAGACAACCACACAGTGCTCTTTCCAAGGATGCTGGGGAGTCTGAGTTTATCAGTGCAGTCTGTGACAGGAAGAAGATGTTGAAATTATCTTATGTGACTCCCCAGAGTTGATGCAAGATAGCATATTGACTGCCTGTCTACTTCGGGAAACTCGTCCAGTCCCAGTGCCACGCCTTCCTGATGTTGCTATGGCAGAGTCATGACTGACAGATATCTACTTGGGCACCTCACAGCTTTATTGCCCTATGTCCCCTGGCTTGTCCTTCTGAAGCAGGCTGGCTATGCACAACTCTTTCAGAGAGACCACTACAATGTGCTTGAGCTGCCTTCCAAAAAGAGGCCTAGCTCTCTGGCCAAACCTTCACGGAACAAGCATGTTCTGCACATCTCCACCTTCTGGCTAAGATCAAGTGCAGCATTATATGCTAATTCCTAGCAATAATGTCATAAATTTTAAAATATACTGAAACATACCCGTCATACAAAATTATATTATAATGCAACTACTGAATTCAATTAGAAGGACTATAAAGGGCTTTCTAAGAAGCTTTCAATATAGATTTAATATCCTCCCCATGTTGGATTTAATTTTTAACAATTAGCGTACAGTTTTAACACAAAAGCCACTTTCCCTGTGAAATGTTCAAGCTAAAACCAAAGTCCTTGTTTCTTAAGGCTCACAGACTGTCACATTGTCATTTAGTCTCTCTGCAAGGATGCAAGGTTGCCCTGCACAGAGAACAAAGCATCCTGCAAGTCACCCCTCTCCCAGCATGCCCTTGGTAATCTTCAGAATCCATTCCCTTCAGCCAGGCTCCACCTCTGGGTGGGGCAGGAACATTCTTTTTGTTTGTACAGGGCAGGGCATTCACTTTGAGCTCTGTCCTCCAAGGTCCAATTCTGTAAGGCTCAGAAAACTTCAAGAAAAATATAGGGACTTAGGGCATCTCCTGTGTATCTGCATTAAAAATCGTCCAGTTCAGAGCAGTTCTACTGAATAATGCTAGATGTTAATACAACCACACTCACCGATATATTAAAGCAATTCATATTAATATGCTGAAAGTATTTATAGGTTAGGTTGTGTAAGAATCTGCCAAATAAAATTAGTGTATTTTCAGTTTATCTGAGTATAAACTGTGATCTAAAACATACCTACTATAGCAAATACATGAAAAAAATATGTCTTAATAAGACACTGAAGGCATTTCTGCCCTGTTTCTTATTACTGTTTGTGGATTTTCTACACATGTGTGGACATGTGCTATGGAAGCTGTCTGAGGACAACTTTGTGGAGTTGGTTCTCTCGACCTAGCTTTACCTGCCTTTGGGGAACTGAACTCAGGATGTCAGGATTGCTTTAGTGCCTTCACCTGTTAAACCATCTTGCTTGTTTTCTTCCCTACCTCTCTTCCTCCCTTGTGTCCTTCGCGCCTGCCTTCCTCTCTCTCTCTCTCTCTCTCTCTCTCTCTCTCTCTCCCTCTCTCTCCCAATGTAATTCAGATTGCCCTAAAACTTCATGTCTTCTCCTGCCTCTGCCTCTTCAATACTGGGATTGCAGGCACTCACACCACTCCAGCTTAAAGTATAATTGCTTTGGGGGATTGTTTATTTGTTTGTTGTCTATAGCATAATTGCATAGAAATCAGCTTTAAAATGGTTACAGTTGTCGATATATGCTTTAAAACTACGATTTATTCAATTACATGTAACTTAATACTAAAGGTACATTTGTAGTTACAAATGTAGTTTAAATTTGCCAGTATCTTAAAAAATTATTTTATATATCCTAGTGCTGTGCCTGCATTTATCTGTGTACCACCTATGCGTCCAGTGGGAAATGACCCTACTTATTGAGTGGTTATAGTATAATGTTAGGGTCAAATAGGAAAGCAGAAGTATGCAAAGGAAATTGGGTCATATGTGAACATGAAGTAACAGCCATGGACATGTAAGGAAGCTGGTGTAGCCAGTTCCTGCAGTGTGTGCAATACTGAGCCATCTTTTTGTTCTTATTGTCCCCTGAGAAGAAAGCTGTCTCAGCAGAGCCGAGGTTAGTGGAGGAAGATTGTCAGGGACAGGGAGGGGTGCAGCTTCTACCTTCCAAATCTAACAGAATGATAGGAAAGCTCCTGGGATCACATCATAGATGAGCCAACAAGATCCACTGAGCAGACTCTAACGAGGCAGTGACAAGGAATTGGATTTGCAAGGAAAAGCCAAGTCTGCTTAGACCTCTGGACAGGAGACCAGCACAGGCCATCCATGTAGAGCAGAGCTCAGTACTGAAGTCTGGAGGGGGAGGGACCTCTATCCTCAGGAACAGTAAGTAAATGCTGAGGGCTGTGTGGTGTGAGGCCTTTTATAGATTCCAGGTCTCAGCTGGCTCTCGCCCTCACCGACTGGCAGTGAAAATGTGGCCATGAAGGACATTTGCTCTGCTGTGTTTGGAATTATGGCTTCTCTGACTCCGAAACCCACTAGATCATTCCACCATCATATCTCTAGAAAACTCTGCATGGCTCTCTCTCTTCTCCAGTTGGTTTATCCATGTCCTGAACTGCTTCAGTCTCTTTAATCTTTTATTGAAACCAGAATGGTACATGGTGTCTCAGGACTTTGAGTCTGCCATCATCTCTCTCTCTCTCTCTCTCTCTCTCTCTCTCTCTCTCTCACACACACACACACACACACACACGTGTATGTGTGCTGTGTCTTCACTGCACCTAAATTCTAAGATGTTTTTTGTGACAAAAATTTGATAGTCATGGAAAATATGGAAAATTCTTGAAAGTGACCAAATTTCTTGGCTTCCGTGTGACTTCACAGTTGGTGTGTGCCTGTCACTGCTGTAATCATTTGAATTATTGCCTTTGGTCAACTTAGCACAAACCTAGACATATCTGGGGAAGACAGAATCTTAATGGACAAAATACCCCCATGAGATTGGTCTGTAGACAAGTCTATAGGAGTAGTGTCTTAATCAATGGTTAATGTGGGAGGGCCTAGTTCATTGTGGGTGGTGCTATTCTTGAGCAGGTATCCTGAATTCTATAGAGAAACTAATTTGAGCAAGCCTTGGGAAGCAATCCGATAAACAGCATCCCTCCGTAGTCAACTTCAGTTCCTGCCTTAGTTTCTGCCCGGGTTCTCCGTCATGGTGCACTGTAAACCCTTCCTCTCCAAGTCGCTTTTAGTCATAGTCTTCATCAAGGCCGCAGAGAGCAAGCATGTGCATTTCAGGCTCTTGCATTATGCGGTCACCTCACTTTTCCAGAAGTGAAATAATCGCCATGGCAACAACAGCCATCAGTTTTAAGGACAGTCAAAATAGATCAGGTGGTGCGTCTCCACATAACCAAACGCTATTCGATTTGACCATGTTTTTATGAAGTGTACTTAAGAAAGTTTATCTTGCCTCCTCAGGTACAGATCTGCAAAGAGTTGATAATGTCTTTGTTTTGAGGCGGATAGGCTTAACTGATGCTCTTTGGGGGCCTTAAGTAGGCTTGAGCAAAGTGACAGAAAACAAAACCACTTAGCTCCCTATTTACGTCTGATTTCCACGTAAGCCATTACACTGGACAGCCCAGTGGATTATCAGCTCAGCCACAGGCAATGACTGGCAGGATTTCTTTAATCGTATGGGGATGACTATCCTGGGGGATTTTGAAGACTTGGGGAATATATTAAGTGAGACTGAGATAACTTGCAAGTATAATTGTCCTGAAGTTTCCAAATTTTAGAGGAATAAGTCTGACAAAGAAATAAGAGAAATACTTCAGTTATTTCTTACGAGGAGAAATTTGGGCTTTAGACACCAGAATCATTGCCTACTAGTGACAATCAACCTTCTTAGTTTATTGTCAATGTCTCCCTTTTCAGCTCCCTGTGGGTATAATGTGACATCACAGAATGGTACCATTTATTCCCCTGGGTTTCCGGATGAGTACCCAATTCTGAAGGACTGCCTATGGCTGATCACTGTCCCTCCAGGGCACGGAGTGTACATCAACTTCACCTTGCTGCAGACTGAAGCTGTAAATGACTACATCGCTGTCTGGTATGATTCCTCCCAGGGAATGGAAGTCCTTGCTGTGGGTAGGCTGTTCTGGATTAGCACCTGCCTCTAATTTGTTGGGTTACCTGTTTATACATGATCTGCCTAGGCAGACCTTCAAGATGGAACTCACCAACAAAAGCAAGCTATACAGAGGAAATTTCAAGACATATATCGAATTTGCTATAAGATATAAATAACCAGATTAACTATAGGGCAACATTCATGATTAGTTTATTTCACATTTTGCTTTAAATAAATTATTAATAATTTTTTCTTTGATATAATATTTTACTCTGAAGTCTAGGCTAGCCTTGAATTTGTCAAGATGTTTTTGCCTCAGCCTCTGGAGTGTAGGTGTATATCACCACACCTGTCTTAATCCAGAGTTTGAAGGGTTATATGTATGTGTGTATATATGTGTGTGTGTGTGTGTGTATGTGTATGTGTTCATCTATATATGTGTGTGTGTATGTATATACATGCATACACACATGCATGTATATATTTAAAGCAAAGCTATAATGTGTTTTCCCTTAATGAATACATGAAAGAACACTAAAGAAGTGTTTCCTTATGGAAACCCCAGATAGTACAGGCCTGGTTTCCTATGAACCTTGTAGAGGAACTTGGGCCAGGATATGATGAACATGAATCTGCTAGGTAGGATCTGGAGAAATGACAAGCTACACCTTAGAGATCTAAGGCACAATTTAAAGGGGAGGCTGAAATGAGTGTTCTCCCTCATACTATGATGGGAGAGCCAGAAGATACCGCTAGGTCACCAGGACGATAGCACTGTCGAAAATACAGGTGACCTGCACATGTGCATGTGTGATGTATGATATGTGATGTGTATAAATCTGTGTGTGTGTATCTCTGTATGTATGGACTATTTGTGTGTCTATATGTGTGTTTGTCTACAACTGTGTTATATGTCCATGTTTGTGTGTGTCTGGTTATAAATGAATACTTATTGTATGCAGATATCTGTGTGTGTCTGCTTGTGTATTTATATGAATGTATAGTTCTCACACGAGTATGTTATATGTATTTATATGTGAATGTTTTGTGTGTGTATATATATGCATGTATATATACATGAAAACACTATATATAGTGTTTGTTTGTGAATGCATGTGTCTGTCTGTCTATGTGTATCTGCCTATGTGTGATATATGGGGAGAATATCATGTGGCTGAATTACTGCTTAAGGAGAGAGGGAAGGTAACCTGGACCGGAAGGAACAGATGCACCAGGGTCTTAACATTTTATCTAAATGTTAAGAAAATGTAGGGAGACCACGTACAGGATTTAAACAGGACATTCGCTGTGGATGATGCAGCTGCAGGGCCCAGGGGAAGCTACCTTCTCAGGCTGCAGTGATGGTTTTGGAGGGAGATTCTGAGAAGCTGAGCTGGAGACTGTGACAATGAGACCAAGCTTTGCTGTTCAGCAAGACAGCGGAGCAGCAGTCCCACCAGCAGTAGGTTCATGTAGATCCTGCTGCACGTATTCCCAGTCTTAACAACTCGTGTGGGTCCATTGTCCACAACCAGAATGCAAATGAAGGAGAAATGCAGGGTAGTGAATCTCCTGAACACAGAGCATCCTGTTACTAAAGGCAGTGCCAGGGGAATATCTTAATTGCATTTTTTCAGTATTTTAATTTAGTTGTAAAACTATTTTATAAATACTAGACATAAGGAAGTGGCCACCATGTGCACTTAAAATGTTGTTGTTGGTCACTGACAATGGGCACTGAACTTTCCAGACCATGCCTGTCCTCTCTCCCTGGCCATATTGGGGAGCTGGCTGCACAGTCTCAGCTATAACCTTAAACTTCTTCCTCTGGTACCCCAATCTGTTTCCTAGGGATGGTCCTGACCAGAATTCACCTCAGCTCGGAGTCTTCAGTGGAAACACCGCCCTCGAGACAGCATACAGCTCCACCAACCAGGTCCTGCTCAAATTCCACAGTGATTTCTCCAATGGAGGCTTCTTTGTCCTCAATTTTCATGGTCAGTTTATTTCTGCTTCAGTGGCCAGGACATAGAGTCCCAGGAAAGCTCCTCACCATGCCCACACACATGAGCCTGCTGGGTTGTCCCACATGGATGCCAGAGTGTCCTGGAAACCTTTGGTGGTAGACAGAGTGCCTCTGTTGTCAGTTCATTTCATCAGGTCATGTTGGTAGCTACTTGAGGTTCATTTGTTCCTATAGAACTATAAATGAGACCATGTTGTAGGGACTATCATGATGCTCTTGACTTTTGTGCAGGCCTGCATGTACATGACTCTAAGGAAATGTCACAGAAACCATTATCTAATGACCAATGGAGCAACACCAATCTCATGAAGTCCTTGAGAGCAGTAGGGAACAGTCACCAGCCCCTCGTCTCCCATGACCCTAAGACATTCTCTGAGACAAGAGGAGACAAGCTTACTAGCCTAGCCAGGCTGTGATGGGATCGCTTCCATGGTGACTTCCAAAAGCAGGAGAGTCGCTGCTATTCTAATGGGATGTTTTCAAAGCGTGGGCTTCGGGTGCTGTTAAGTATTTAGCAGTCAAAGTGAGCCTTTGGAGAGAGCGAGGGACACGTGCATATAGTCTCGTAACGCGCTCATTCAGCAAGGGTAACCACCGCTGTTTTCTCTTCCACAAACCCACGGTAGCATTTCAGCTGAAGCGATGCCCGCCTCCCCCGGCCGTGCCCCAGGCTGACCTGCTAACGGAAGACGAGGAATTTGACATAGGTATCGCATCTCTGCTTTCTTCATCCCACGCCGTGGGATCTGGCGTCTCATAGTTCTTCTGATTGAGACTTGAGGCAAATTGGTAACCATAAGGGAAAATGTCCAAAACATTGTAGAGCCTTTCACAGAGACCGGAGCAAATGACTTACTTTATGCTCTGCTCTTGTCATTTGAAGGCTTTTGCTCTGTGGCGTTTGCTACTGATTTTCTTTTTAAGTTTCCTGAGCCTGTCTTAGAATGTATTTAACTGTAAATAATAGCCTCCACAGGAAAAGTCATTGGAGAATATACTTAATGATAATTATAATAAATTTTTCATCCAGAAACTTCTATTTAAATATGTTATGGCTGCTTTGTTTTCAGTCATGGTCTCGTCCATTCCTCATCTGGTCCTCTTAGGAACCCAGCCACAGCATATGGTGGCCGTGTGGTTATAAGAACCCAGGGTTTCTTAGATTTAATTACAAATACATATTCCTGTGGTCACAGCTTGTTGCAGAATGCTGGTGACATCACATTGTCCAATTCCTGCTCTTGTTATGACGGTTAGGCTAACGGGAACCATGGTGTCTCCCTGGGCAGGACCATGGGCAAGCCCTGTTGGGTTTGTTGAAGCCATTCCACATTCTACTCCACAGACTTGCTTAGGTCCCAAAGATCTATGGTGCTTTTATTTATCTAGCGAGGCATATGGAAAGTGGGACACATGGTTGTATTGGTCAAGGAAGAGCACAGCTAGTCTCTTCTTAGTAATATTAAGTTTTATAAACTAAGAGCTGAAAACTGGGCTTTTTAGCGACGTACATAAAGTGAATATAGACCCCCTTTCCAAAGTAGTTTGCTAGTAGACATCGTTCATTAAGCAGTCACAAATGATCGGCACAGTCACAGCCGTCAAATGTTCTGGGAATGGTGATCCCAGTGTGTCGGGTTGATTCTTTCAGGGGACTTCGTGAAGTACCAGTGCCACCCTGGGTACACGCTGTCTGGGAGCGACACGCTGACCTGCAAACTTAGCTCACAGCTCCAGTTCGAAGGCTCCCCGCCCACCTGTGAAGGTATGTCCTGTCCTGCTGCGTTGGTTGCTCTGATAGTCTCTGGGGATGGGCTTGAATTTGTCCCAGGTCTGTGCTGAGTCAATCCCACAGTATAAACAAGTTGCCAACAGAGGTGTTGGATAACTTTTTGACTTTTAGTCCACCCTCAAAAATAAACCTAAGCCATACTTTCTGCAACCAGTGCATCATGGGAATGTTCAAATACAAGAAGATTGAAATATTAAATATTAAATAAAAAATAAATATTAAAGAGCAGCTGATATCTGTCCCTGATATTATAGCCCGTCTCCTCATCTCTGTAATCTTCCTCGTGTTTTGCATCCATCTCAAGCACACTGAGCATCCTGGAATTTTCCTGTCAATACTTCCTCTGGATTTAGGTATCTGGTGTTTAACCCTTTGCATATAAAATGTATAAACAATGAAATATATCCACTTTCAGTTTTGTATGTGCCTCTAAAATAAACTGACCATATACTGGGACTTAAACAATTTGCAATAAAAGAACAGGGTTCTATGCTGCACCTGTTGGTTCACTTAAGAAAAGTAATTTAGTAGGGACCACGGTGAAGTACAGTGGGAAGAAGACAGCCTTAGGTAGTCCAGGAAGGTCAGACATAGCATCCCGGTTCACTGCCAGTGTTTTCAATGTAGTTTAATCAATCAAAGCTCCAATAGGGAGCCTTTGAGAGCAGGGCGCTCACCCTTCCCTGGAATGTGGCTTTGCCCCACACTAGAAGAAGAAATACCAGAAAGGGTATGTGTGAAAGGGACCAGAGCCCCAGCCCGGGCTCCTCAAGTGACTGGAAGGTCTCCTCTCTTTGCCCATCACATTCAAGGGAGCTAGCTACTTCTGGGCCTGTAGAAGAGGCCAAAAGTATTTGGTGAATATCAGGTGAGTTTTCTCATGTGTGCACCTCACAAGTGGCTTCTCTGCACTGTGGAAGTACCAGCTTTACCAGCTTGCCTATGATCTCTCTCTCTCTCTCTCTCTCTCTCTCTCTCTCTCTCTCTCTCTCTCATTTTTTTGTTTGTTTGTTTTTTGAGACAGGGTTTCTTGGTATGACTTTGGAACCTGTCCTGGTACTCGCTTTGTAGCCCAGGCTGGCCTCAAACTCACAGAGATCCGCTAGCCTCTGTCTCCCAAGCGCTGGAATTAAAGGTGTGCGCTACCACTGCCTGACTCCTATGATATTTCTGACATTCAAATCCATGCACGGGTTGTGTCTGGTTGTCTAATGACACCTGAGGCCTTGTGACTTGATGAAGAAGCACCCATGTCTCCTTGCGAGCAGAACACCATCTCCAACAACCTAGTAAATGGGCTGCTCTTGGGAATGAATGACTGAATGTTCACTGTCACTTTAAAAAAAGAAAAAAAAACCCATAACCAGAATCACTAAGCGCAGGGGGCTCACTGTATTGGAAAGGTGCTGTACTGGAGAGCAGCCGCTCCATTCTGCTCCAGGTTGAGTGACTGAAATCATGATGCATTATTATCCTTTAGGTCCTCAGGAGCCAAGGTGAGGCATCGGGTTAGGAGACCCGAGCCATTTCCTTGGATAAACTGAGTGTCTCCACTGGATTGGCACAGTGTCAATGGTCTCGGGAGTCCCTTCTTGAGATGACAGAACATACAGTGTTGAAGTTTTGCCATTTTATATTCAGGCATTTGTTTAAAGGGTACATTTTAATCTCAACATTCCTCAGTATGGAGGGCTTGAAACAAGCCTAGAAAAGGCACGCATATTTGTTTCGGATTCTGCTCACAGGATGTCCTGCCCTAATTAGCTCAGTTTTTATTGAAATGAAGTTTAACTCATGTCCGTCCCCCAGAGTAAGCCCGCACAACTGTGGACCCATAATCTCAGTTCCCTGTGCACAACAACCACACATGCACACAGCCTTCCGCAGTCTCAGCTACAGCTCTGTCTGGAGAAGGGGAGCCCATGACTCTCAATTCTGTTACTACTGTTCCCAACAGCCCTGGGCTCTTGGGCTACATAGAGGAACTCTGTCTCTAAAGCAAAACAAAACAAAAAGAAACAGAACTGGGCAGTGTTCACTGGCGGGAACCCAAGTCTGGTTAGGGATGAGCTTCCTCTGGAGGCAGCAGTAGGAGGGCAATTAGGAGATTGCTGTATTCTTTCCACATGGCCACACCCCAAACCCAGTAAGTTTCAGGGATCAAGTCCCCCATTTTCTTAGGGTCTTGCAGTTTCTATAGTTCTCTCATCGTATATATGTTTTGTTGTTATTGTTTTTTGTTTTCTTAATATTTGTTTTTTGAGAATTTCATACTTGATTACCATATTTACACCATTTCCAGTCATCCCTCCCCATTCCCCCAACTCCTTCCATCCCTCCCCCAACTCCTTCCATCCCTCCCCCAATTCCTTCTGTCCCTCCCCCAACTCCTTCCATCCCTCCCCCAATCCCTTCTTACACTCATGACCTTCTCTATTATCTTCTTTTTTATTATTTAAATGTATTCATTTATTTAATTACTGTTCTTCCTGAGATGGTGTCTCAAATGTAGTCCTGGGTACCTATTTAGGCCAGGCTGGCCCCAAGTGTACTAGGCCCTTCCTCCGCAGCCTACAGAGTACTGGGGTTAAAAGTGTGCACTCTCATGCCTGGCTGAAGTTAATATTTTTTATTTGTTGTTTTTGTTTTGTTTTTCTGAGGGTCTCTCTATGTCACCCTGCCTGTCCTGAAACTTTTATGTGCACCAGACTGCTAGAATGCACAGATATCTGCCTTCCTATGCCTCCAGAGCATTGGCATTAAAGGGGTGCACCATCACACCCAGATAAGGGGTTAATGATAAGAAATCCCAGTTCATGCTCCTAACTCTGAGTTATTTTTGCTGATGTTTTGCAAGATGTGTTAAACAATGCTCTCCATCTTTTAGGCTAAAAAGAAAGGAAGGAAGGAAGGAAGGAGGGAGGGAGGGAGAAAGAGAGAGAGAGAGAGAGAGAGAGAATGCTTTTGAATATGCCATGTGCAGGTATCTCTGATGGCCCTTCCCTAAAAGCAGACATTTTCTCAAATGTCTTTTGAGGTCCAAGGGGCTTTAATGGTATCATTGCTGCTGGAGCAACGAGAAACTCAGCTTCAGGGGAGAGTTGGAACCTTCATGATAGCTGAGTTGCCCCTGGCACCAGTTTACAGCAGCTTCCAGGAAGGAGTAAGTTCCTAGGAAACAGCAGAGCAGACAGGAAAAAACAGAGACATTTGATCCCGTTGGGAAATATATTCAAATGTGTGTCTTAGAATAATATTTGGGCCTGGGAATAATAGCGTTAAGTGTGGCAAGAAACTTGATGAAATGGCTTTGCTTATATTTTCAGTTCGACTTATCTACTAAGCAAAAGAGACCATTTTAAGAATAGAAGGGGTGAGAATGAGTCTGCTTAGGACTGCTTCTGATGTGCATAGCTGCTCTGTGCCCCAGCCCTGGAGGTGACGATGGCTTTCCAGGTGGCTTTCAACAACTCACTGCAAAGTTTCTTAATTCCAGATGGTCTGAAGTTCAGTGTCATTTAAAGCTCTAGCTGCAGTGGTAGGAGAGACAAGGTGGAAGCCAAACTGAATATTTCCCCAGTGAAACACAGAGAACGGGCTCTGCTTGGTAGCACCTGCCTGTTGAGGAAAGGAGGGTATGTAGCCGGGACATTTTCAGTTCCCATACTCCCTCTGCCCATATGGCACCTTCTATTTAAGAAAGACATTTACATCTGCCACATCTCGCTTAACCCTGAGGGGTAACTGTTACAACCCTCTATTTTCAGCAGAAATTAAAAAAAAAAAAGGTGTTGGCTCTCACTGCAACATGGAATCAGGTCCATGAAATCTCTGGGACTGTAGTCTCGAGCCCGCACAGGTGTGTACAGACACAAAACCCAGTCTGTGAACTGTGTTCTATTTAAAAATATCAGCGTGTCCAACCTGCAGTGGGCAAAGCAGATTTTCCAAAGTGATTCTGTCACTGAATGAATGGGTCTGCATCTTAGTGAGCACGAAGACAAAATGTACAACAGAAGATAAAACAGTAGAGTGATTCATTGCCTATAGGAGGGGAGGGGCAGGAGGGATATTTCCAAAGCCAAGGTCTCTCCTGAGGACAGAATCATAGGGGGTTTTATTGTGGGAACCTATATGTATTCCTGTAGGAAAGCCTGTGGATTTGGGCACATACCTGTGCATACTTAGCACAGACATACATTATGGAGCATGCGCAGTTTGAGGTTATAGTCCAAGAAAAAAGATCGAAGCTACATAACTGGGCAAACACAGGTTAGAGTCATAGAGCATGTGTTCAAATTAGCAAGAAGACATAGCTTTGCTAGGCATGCTGGATTCCATGTTATAATGAGCAAGTTTTCTCTGAGTTGCACAGAAGAATAAACCAGAGCTCTCGCGCGCGCTGGTTTGAGCCAGTTCTTTCTATTTTCGCCAGCCTCAGCTAAAACAAGAAGACAGGACTCAGATGATATGTCAGTGCAAGAGTTTCTTCTTTTTATTTGTCTCTTTTCTGCTGTTGTGAGGGGAAAAAAAAGACCAAAAGCAACTGTGGGGAGAAAACTTATTTTGGCTTACGGTTCCAGAGGCATAAGTGTCCATCTTGGTGGGGAAGCATGACCGCAGGAATGGGAGGCTGAGAGATCACATCTTTGTGCCAAACTCAAAGCTACAAGAGAAACCAAAGGAAGCAGAGCCTGACGGTACACTCTCAATCCTGTCCCCAGCGATCTACTTCCCCCCGCGCATTGTACCTCCTCAGCCTCCAGAAGCAGCATTACTACTGTGGACCAAACGTTCACATGCCTGAACCCCTGGGAACATTTTTCAATGAAAGCACCTTCCACCTGCAAGGCGCCAGCCCTGTGTGATGACTAACCATGTCACCACCATCACTGCAGAAAGCAGGACGTTTGACTGAGCTCCATCTGTGCCTTCTGCTTGGAATTGTTCTCGGTGATATCACTGTAACTAGTTTCTACTGTGACATTTTAGGACTTAGACCTATATTACGTTTTCAGGATTCTGTGACAGATTGAATTGCCTGTGATTTTGTCTAAAAGTCTGCTAGGCTCTAAGTCACATTTCAATTAGACTCCAACTGGACGGGCTACCTTCAAAGACAATGCTTAGGAGTGTCACATCTTATAGGCTTTCCCCCCTGTGGTTAAGAAGTGTCTTCATTTTGAAATGTATGTATAGATAACACACAGTCAACTTCTTAAAATGGGAAAACCCACCAAATGAGATGCCTCTCTTTGAAAAATGCTCAATGTCTTTGGGAAGATCTGGTTACTATTTGCTTAAACTATATGAGTAATTCTGGTGCATTGCTTTTCATGGGCTATGGCTGTTCAGGGTTCCTTAGTAGCTCTGTAAGAAAGCATTTCTGTAATATAACTTAATTCAACAATGAGAGATAGTGTTAAGAAACTCTTTTGGTGAATTTTACATTTTAAAATATTAATTAGCTTGGAAGTAACTGGATCAAAATAGAAAGATGAGAAGAAAAAGTGTCACCAAACTCGCAGTATCTTAAGTGTTTCAGTAAAAGAAATTTTTACTTTAGAAACCGTGGGTCCTGCTGAAATTGTAGCAAACAGTTCAGTGTGGGTTTTGACAGTGTTTCTCTGATTCATTTCATGCCTAAACGGTCACATCAAAAAAATTAGATTTTATTTATCTAAGTATAACACGGGCCAGAATAGAAGTGGAATTTTTTTAATTAAAGAACCACATTTTGTTATATTGTCCTGAAGATGAACTATCTGTCTTTATTTTTGCGTTAAGATGGCTTGGGTTGCTGTGATGAAATTCATGAGGCTTCATGGGTGCTCCAAAGGTGCAGTGGCCAGTGTTGTGTAACTCAGTGGGAAGCACAGCCTGCACATTGTGACTCTACCTCTCTCCGAGGGGTCTTTGTCCTGTATCAAATGTAGTTCAGTGCTCAACAAACTGCCTTCTTCTTCTCTCATGGAGTCTGGTGTAGAAAGACAGACTCCAGCCCATCAATGCTGGATTCATTGTATTAATGCGGACCTCTCTCTTTTCTCTTTAGCACAATGCCCAGCCAATGAAGTTCGAACAGAATCTTCTGGGGTGATCCTCAGTCCGGGGTATCCAGGCAACTATTTTAACTCCCAGACATGCGCTTGGAGTATTAAAGTGGAGCCAGACTTTAACATTACTCTCTTTGTGGACACATTCCAAAGTGAAAAGCAATTTGATGCCCTGGAAGTGTTTGATGGTAAGCCTCTTTCGATATGCTTGTCTCAATGCCCTGAGCATCGTTAATGAAAACACCATCTTAATGTCTCAATGCCAGGATGGGTCAGGTTTGTCTAATTGCATCTTCCCACAGCCACCATAGCACAAACCAGTCATGATAGAACTTGAGCTTTTTCGGGTATCGGGTGACCTTTAAGTAATATTCTTATGTTGTTTATGTTACAGTTTTCCTACAGATAATTGTGTGTGTGTGTGTGTGTGTGTGTGTGTGTGTGTGTGTGTGATGGGTTTGCTCGGTACTGCAGGGCAATTAAGAGTTCAAAAAGAGGTTTATTGTTCCAAATGTGTACTTTTCTAGAAGTACATGAAAAGAGTGGCTCACACAGGCCCTGAGGTGGTAAACAGTTGTTTTGTATAGTGCAATCAAATGAGTTTGACGCCCAGTGATGGTGCTTTCAACAGCAGTGTTGTAGTTTTATACAGCTCTCATGAACACCTTGGGACAGCCGTGTAGGTAGCTGGATCATCGTCTGAGATAAAACCAAGGCCAGTGATTCAGAAGCGTCATCATTTCCAGAGTAGAGCTCAACCCAAGACCATGGGGCTCATACTCCCATCGATTTGCCACTGGGTTCAGATTAACCATAATCTATTCAGTGATAGAAATTACTTTAGTTGATTCTGTATGTTTCCCCGAGTCTCACTCATTTGATGGATCATGGGAAGTACATCACTTGTGTGGATCGACCCACAGGAGTCAAGTTCTGCAGATGTCTGCATTGGAAATGAAATTCTCAGTGTTTTACCTAGAAACAGTAAGCAAACAAAACACACACAGAGGAAAACAGTGCCACGCAGGCAGTTGTCTCGTGTGTGCACACAAGTACAAGTGTATGTCGCTATCTGAATCATAAGTAAGTTCTGATATGGGATTGGATTGTCGTGAGCTTGTGCATCTCCTGTTTCACTTGAATTGGAATATAGAGCACAATATTTTTATGCTTCTGAATCAGGAAGCATAATCCTTATCTGTAGTTTTTCACTAATTGCATACAGTCTGGTATTGTCTCAATATGGTCAGAGCGTGACTAAGATCAAAAGCTAGAGAGAAGACCAGAAAGATGACAACAGTTTTTGCTGAATTAACAGAGGCTCATGACCTGCGTTGCTCTGACTTCAAATATTTTTCTATAAAGTGAAGAAAGGTCAGAGTTTTGTATGGAGAACTGTTGTAAGTGATGACATTTTCTCTGCACTGCACACTGTGCCCATCTTATTGCAGTGACACAGGTGCTATTTTATACTTTGTGAGCTGAGCAGAAGTTGGCTGGGCATACCGGCTGTGAGCAGTGTTTGCTCAGAGTACATTATTCTCTGTGGTTCAAGTGTGGCTTTTCCACAATTGCTTAATCATCACAGAACTCAGAGAAGAATGGTGTCTGAATTACAGTCATGGTTGGCTGCTGAGCCCACAGCATTGGCTATCCGTATCATGGGAAATGGAACTGCACGTCTCCTTTCTCGGCTATTTTTGACACATGCTAGGTAGAGGCATGCTTTCCAAGACAGGCCTAAGCACTATGATTTAGACAGGGAGCAGATGGAGAACAGTAAGGGGTTTGATGGGAGATTAGCAACTTTTAGAGAAACAGTCTTGCATTCTGTCAGTAGAAATGACATTTAAAGTATGACAGGCTCAGGGCAATTAATTTCCCAATGGCATTTTGTTTCAGAAGGTACATGATCTTGTTTAAGAGCCATGAGCAGACCTGACCCAGCTCATACCTCTGCCATCTCCCATATAAAGTGGAGTCATCCTTCTGTAGGGAGTAGGCAGGACACCTTGCAGACAGTCTTTGGAGATCATCTTTCATAAGCTTTATCTATATGGATATACATATATTCAGTTTATTGATTTTGGGTACTATATAAATTTAACTTTTCCTTATATTTCTAGAACATAAAGAAAGTTTTGCTCCAGAGTTTATCATAAGCAATAATATTAGAATATACATATTTGCTATATCATAACTTTTGTACCCATGTGCTAGAGCTGATGGAATTGAAGCTTCAATTTTACTATATATTACAAAGCTATTCCCCAAAGTGATTGGCTTAGCTTATACTCCAATGACATCTCAAGAAAGCTTCTGGTTTTCCATATCTAAGTTATATTATAAGTTGATAAATTATAAAATAGTGTTTACATTTTCAAATGCCGTGGTTTCCCTCATGTATTTGATTTCTTTCCTGAGAATGTCATTAGTAGCTTACATGCTTGACTGCCTATATTTGTTATTATTCTCAGTTGAATTTTATTGTTCACCTTGGGAATAAATACCTATAAATATGGACACATGTTTAGTCAACAGCTATGAATGATCTGTATTTTGTAGGCACTGACATCTAAAAGTTTTGTTTTTCTGTTTTATTTAGGTTCTTCTGGGCAAAGTCCTCTGTTAGTGGTCTTAAGTGGGAACCACACTGAACAATCCAATTTTACCAGCAGAAGTAACCATCTATACCTTCGCTGGTCTACGGACCATGCAACCAACAAGAAAGGCTTCAAGATTCGCTATGCAGGTGAATAGTAGGGCCTGAACACCAACTGAAAGGGCTTCTGGTACCACTTCATTAACAATAGGTTTAGCTTCTGGTGTAGATCTGACTTCTCACTCATTAATGACCAGCAAGAGAAAGAACATAGTGGAGGATTACTCTGAGTGAGATTTCCAAACTGATGAGCAAACTTGATTAATATTTTAAAATGTCTTGATGAGAGGGTAAGTATTAAAATTTTATACCATAGATGACAAAGACATTGCCCTCAAATTACAGTAATATAGTCAAAATTAACATTAACATTGGGAACAAATGAGAGAAGATTAAATTGCATAAAAGACACAAACAGTAATTGGCTGTTGTCCCTAGCATGTCACTTTATCTATACTGCATTCTATATATTCTTTATCTTTGCAGAATACATGTACCTTACATACCAGTCTATATTTTGTATGAACATTTGCATTGTAAATCTACATTCGGCATACACGTGTGTGTACTTCCATATCAAAATTTGAGTTATTTTATCCTTTCTCCGTATTCTTTAATCATTGTCTGAAGTTGTTCTCTGTATTAAATTGATGAAATCTTCAAGCACATTAATGAAGTGTTAAAACCCATTCATCATCTCCAACGGAATCAGACATATACCAGCATTTCTGTTACCCTCTGCGAGCACGGGGGTGTTAATTCCTAGCGATTTATGTTTAGTTATGGAGCATAGCCTCTAAGCTTGTCTCAGTCGGCAGTAAGTGGACTAGTCTTGGAGACATGTCTTCCTTGGAGAGAGATCATCGGCATATTAGTTGCAGGATCTTTTGAATGGCTTTTACTCCCCTTGGTGATTTGTGTTTTCATGGTGGAGTTCAGCTTTGAGGGAGCAAGTACTCCATAGTGTAAATGAACCACATTTTCTTTATCCATTCTTCAGTTGACAGGCATTTAGGTTGTTTCCACATTCTGGCTATTACAAATACTGAAAAAAAAAAAAAAACCTCTCAAGCCAGTTTCACAGACAGCATCTGAGTAGGTATTGGATTAGCACCCTTGTTATGAGGAATGGATGCTCAGACTTTCAGCTTGTTTGAGTTGATTCAATGTGCAGAAGTGATTGATACAGAGGAAGTCATGGCTAACAGAATATAACCAATGCCATATGCAGTGAGTTCTTTAGCTCACTGGCATGGAACACCTTGACTAACCTCTACCTTCCAAGGCATATTTCCACCCGTGCAGTAACAGACTCTCTGTATCCAGCCACATCAGGTTGGAAGCCTGATGAGGTAATATGTTTTTCTTATAGAGATGTAAATACATGTCCTGTATTAATATGAATATATGTACATGCATATACATACGTGCATATGATCTATGTAGTATACATTAACTCAGATTTTCTCTTAAACTTCAGAGAGACTTTGATGTCTGTTAAGAGTTCGTCAAAGGGTGGGCTAGTGTGCTGCAGCTCAAAATATGTGGTCTACACAGCCACATCCTACACATCTGGGCATTTTATTTGCCTGATGTACATGCTGCAGACCTTTCCAGTATGGGCCTGGGATTTGAGTACTGTGATGGGAAAATGGGTTGTTCAGAAAATGACCTTGGGGCTTCTAGCACGGAACTCTCACTGTGTAGTTACTTTCACTTGTTTATGGGCATTCATTGATTTTTACACTATAGTAAAAACAGATCTGTAAAGACAAAAATAATTGTGTAAATAGGATGTCGGCCCTTTCAGTCATCCAAATGTTGCCTTCCGTATGCAGAAGCGTGTGGCTTTAAAACTAACACCTGTTGGGGCTGGAGAAATTGCTCAGTGGTTAAAAGAACTTTAGGCTCTTGCAGAAGACCCTGGTTTGGTTCCCAGTGCTCCCAATGACCGCAACTGCCCGTAACTCCAGTTCCCGGGGTCTGATCACTGAGGGTTCCTGCCTGCATGTGATGTACATACATATACTTAGGCCCCCCCAAATTATATATGTATTGTATTATCATAATATATAATAATTATATTATATATGTATAATACATGCATCCAGACAAAACACTCATACACATAAAAATAAAATTAAATGAATAAAAACTGATAGTCATCTCTAAGTTTGAAAATGTCTCCCAACAAAGGGGATACTTTCACTGCTAACACAAATTTTTTGTAACATGAAGTTCTACATTTTCTACATTTGAGCAAAGATTTTCGATCAAATTTCCTGTTTTATAAAAGAAGTTTTATGTCTATATCATAGCACAATTCATTAGGCCACTAACCTTCATGTTCTTAATTGCAAAAAAAAATGTTCAATGCCTCTTTTCTTTGGTTTAATCACCTCTTTCTTAAAACGTAGAGAATGTTTTTGTTGCAAATGTAGTGCCATAAGCCATGCCCCATCACTTCTCACCCTTGTCTTTATGAGAGGCAGCCTCAGGGTACCTCTTGGGGAGCTCACTATGAAAATCTGTGTCTTTCTGGCCATGCTGAAGTCAGCATCCTACCTAGCACCAGGTTCCTGAGGTTCACAAGAAAACCCTGTGGGGCTTTTAGAGGCTTATTTTTAGAGATGATGTTTGCTGCTCACTTCCCAGCTTTTAAACACTAAAGATGTTTTATTTGTGGTGTGCCTCTGTCCCATATTGGTTTGTAAACTGCTTCCATCTGTTCCCGTGTCCAGCTCCTTACTGCAGTCTCACCTCTACGCTGAAGAATGGTGGCATTTTAAATAAAACTACAGGGACCCTGGGGAGCAAGGTCCATTACTTCTGCAAGCCTGGATATCGAATGATTGGCCACAGCAATGCAACCTGCAGACGGAACCCCGTGGGTGTGTACCAGTGGGACTCAATCGCACCGCTTTGCCAGGGTAAGAGACGGCTTTCCACCCCACCCGGGTTCATTGTTCTGATTTTAGTTGTTCTCCAGCAACGGGAGAGACTGTGCATGAGAGCTGATAGGGACCAGAATCTGGGCGTCGCTGTCATTGCTTTGCTCATGGATGTGAAAAAATATGGGACAAAGAGCACCCTAGCAGGGGAAAGTTTATTTTCTCATTGTTCAAGGGTACCACAGGATGGTTTGTTATTTCTAGACTGTGATCACTAGAAGTCAGGCTGCCTGCTCACTTCCCTGGACAAAGATGCCGAGTGAAGCCAAGACTGATGTTCAGCTACCTTTGACCTTTCTCCCCTTTTGTTCAGTCTGGGCTTCCAAATTATGCAAGGGAGCCACTCAAATCCAGGGTGGGTCTTTCTCCCTAAGTGCTCTGTCAGCACACCCAGTGTGTGCCTGTCTCCTTGCAATTGTGAATCCAGTCAGATTGATCACTGAGACTTGCCGTGGCAGTAGGTTTATGACAGCACAGTTAAGCTCCCCATTGATAAAGCAAACATTGCTAACATTTGCAGAAGGTTTCCGTGAATCTGCACTGCCCGAATCCAGAAAATGAACAGTAGTCCCTAGGCTGTGGCTACAGTTATTCTAATTATAATGTGCTCTTTATCTTGCATTTAAAAAGAGGCATTATCCATGAACATTCCAAAAAGCTTTTCCTGATCATTGTATTATTTCAAAATATATCCTAACCTCCCTCAAAAAAAACGTTCTTCCTTATTTTACTACAAATGAGCCACGGTGTTTATGTCTTACATTCTTTGGCTATTTTAATCTAGGGCTTATAAATGTTGATTTCAATATTCCATAAGTTGTTTTTTTTTAATTTTACCTATCAGATGCATAGAATGTTTCCTATGTAAAACATTTAATTTAGAAGCAAGAGTTTGAGACGGCAACATTTTCAGAGTTTTGTCTGATGAGGTTTGTATTTACAATAAAGTGGCTCAGCCCCTGAACATCAGTCATAAGATGTGAATGGCTCTGGAAACCAGTGGCCTCCTTTCCTCTGACTTGGGCTGTTCGATTTTCTATAATCGCTGTATGGAGGCGTAAGTGATGCACGTTGTGTTTATATGGCTTGAGCCACATCACCATTATCAGAGCCTCACCTTGGTTTATGCTTTCACCTCTAGAAATTGTTCTTTAATATAAGATAAACATTAAGTAGCTTCCAGGAGCTCATCCTACTAGGAGGGACAAAGGTTTTTTTTCCCTTTCATTGACAAGGAAAAATAACACTTATTTGCTTTGTGACTTAGGGCATGAGGTGGCACTGAGGCCACCTGTCCATGCCACAAATTTAAACAGTGGAACACATGTGTGACTTCCAAAGCATGTAATTGAAATCACATAATTCCCATTAAGATGATTTATCTAGTGCCGGGATCTTTCGCTTGTTTTCATTGACTTGGCCTTAGTCCTGGTCTCAGTGACTCCAGTATGGTGGGAGGAATGTTACTCAGATGAGAAGTCAAGGAGACATGGGGAAGTCTAGGTTCCTTGATGTCAAGGGAACACTAATGACCTTAGTATTCCTTTATGGCTCTGTATAATGGGAGTGTTGATCGCTGGCTTTAGAATTACTGAAAGGCTTAAACACGGAGGTACACTATACCTCCATAGGATGTGAAGGTAGCTAATGTCGTTGGGGCTGGAAGGGGATTCCCAGGGCACTTGCTCCAGGCTCACTCAGAACCCTGGGGTCCTATGTGGCAGGGCTGGTAACCAGGCCTCCTTGTCTGTCACGGCTTTAGCAAGTGGCACACACTGTTTCCATCCTCACGGTCTGGGCCAGCCAGAAGCGCCAGGGCAGATGTAGTCTGTGGGTTTCTGAGGAGTGAGGGTTGTTTTTCTCTCTTTGCTTGACCTTTTAAATGATTTCTCTCAGCAAAGCTGTCTTGGTTGCTTATCCTCCCCATAAAGCCAGGCATATCTCCTGTACTGTAGCCTCCATTTCCTGCCTCAGAGCAAGGAATTCTGCCAAGCAGCTGTTTCATTATCAATACACTGATCTTCATCTTGAGGAGCCGCCCGCGCGGGAACCGAGATTTCCTGCGCTATCGTGGATATGCAGTTAAATGGGAACTTCGCAGAGCAGGCTTTCGAGCTGCCCCTGTTCACCAGCGCAGTGCCCACACAGCTGTTTATTTGAAAGCTGTTGCTCAGAGCCTTGTAGGAGCTGGAGCTTTGGTCGCCTCCGTTTCTTGCACTCTGCTCGCGTTTCCCTGGGCAACAAAGTAGGAAAGTGATCTTAGCCATAAACTGCACAATTAAGCTTTTGTTCTTAAAATCAAGCTCTTAAGACATAGGCCAGTGTTGTCTGTTGTCAGATCTTCGTTTATTCAGAGACAGACAGATCTGAAGAACAGACTGCCTTTGATTGGAGGGATTCCTCTAGTCGGTAGAATGGTAGAGAGTTTGACCGTGAGAGTTCCCTAATGTCCTTGAGCAGTTAATGGCATCATAGCTTTAATCAGTCATGGTATAATTTTCAGCTCTAAATTGTTTAGAAATTGTTTTTGAAATGCGCACTGAAATCAAACAGACCCAAAGTCTCTATGTCCCAATGAACTTCTATAGAGTTATAATTAGCTCATAATGTCTGAAAGGCTCTGGAGGAAGCCAAAGACCGGGTTGGTGAGAGGTATGTTTCCTAAGGTTCTACTTATACAGCTCTTTAACTCTGTGGCTATGAGTACCTACAGATATTGCTATCTAAGGAGACTTAACTGTGAACATCTGAGAATCAGTTACCTCCATCACCTCTGCCTCCCATACACCTCCTGATTCCAGAGCTAGCATCTTCCCGAAGGTCCAGGATCTTCACCTTTAAAAAGTTAACAGCAAAGCATCCTTTTAAAAGCTAAGGAATTATAATTGAAACCCTGGAGTGTTAATTAATTAATGTATTTATTAAGTCACAACTTTTTTTTTTTTACTTATGGACATAAATCATATGGGTTAATTGTGACCCTTGACTTCATTTTCATATGCAAATTTACTTCTATAAGATTCTTCTATTCTGAGAGTAACTCAGTAGCTCGAGAGATGTGATTTATTTAGAAGTTTAAACAGAAATTAATGAGAATTTAAATGCAAAATTACACACGATGACTGGGAATTCTATGAGTGTGTTCCCTACCCCGTGTGTGTGTGTGTGTGTGTGTGTGTGTGTGTGTGTGTGTGTGTGTGAAGATAGAGTGTAGGCAGTGTGTGAACCACACTCTAAACTGCAGACATGTGAGTCCATACGGCCTATTTAACCCAGAGCCAATTGGCTGGAGCCAACTCATCTTACAGGTTTGAACTAGCTGGGCAAGTGTGTTACTCCCATGATCCGGTGAGGGGTGAGGGGTTTTCCTAAGGGTATGGACCTGCAGGGGTTATTGCCTGAGGTTTGGCTTCAGGATCTGTAATTCCAGAACAGACACCTCGTCACCTGTTTGGTTTGAAGTCGTAAATGACTATGTTGGCATGAAGCCCGACCCCAGCACAGGACAAGAGGCTGTTGTTGAAAAAGGAACTCCCGCTGGAAGACAACACTGACTTAGTCTTGTTGCTGGGTTTTCAGAGGGCACTTGGCTGACTTGTCTAACATCAACACACTTACGGAGCCGAGCAGGTGACAGCCTCCTATTACCTATAGTCATAGACTGTATGGTCTGAATGTTATCTGTGAGGAACCAGGCAATAAGCGCTGTCTTCTTGCGCCATATATAGTCTGTCCTGTTGTCTTTACCTTATTGTTTCCATCCTTCTTTAGAGTGTGAGTTGGGAACATGTCAACTGTAGACGAGTTCCAGCTAATGAGTTGACATCTGCCAGCCTCTGGAGTGGTCAGAGTAGCCAAGTTCAGGCCACACGCCAAAGCACAATTCTCTCACTCAAATCCTATCTCAGGCATTTCTGCAAGGGAGCATCATCTTTCTGTATCCTGTGACAAACTGAACAATGTGTTTCCCCATCCGTGCTTAGTGCAGACTGAGCACCACAAAATATATGGCTCGTGATTAAGGTAATAGTGAGGGTGTATGTGCAAAATTCTTTCCCATAATGAAGTTGGACGAAGCATGCCAAGGAAGGTTTTCTCACAGAAGGGTTATGAGTTTCCCAGGTTGAGACTGGCCACAGAGACTAGTCATGTCCCTTGCAATGAAAGAAAATTCCATGATGTATCAGCAGTGCTTGCCCTGGAAATGTAAACATATTCTATAGTGTGTATAAAATAGTGTAAAAATGGATGATAGTACCTGGTGTTCGTCTCCCTTTCTTCAGGATAGGGAAGAGTGGGGAGTGGCATGGGCAGGTTGGACAGAAGAGTATCACAGAACCTTTGTTCTAGTATGCAGGACTTTGATAAGGATGCCTTTGAATTCAATAAAAGACCAAGCGCGGAGACGGTCAAAAACCTGAGTAAACAGGACACAGAATAACTGATGGATTTTCGTTAAAGGGATAGTGCAGTCTTTACCTGAAACACCGACAGTTCACAAACACCAGGCCCTCGAGAAGAAATTGCTGGACTGGGATGTGAGTGGGTGACAGCCCCACAGGTGACTGAGGGACAAACCCTGTTGGGCACCTAGGAATGAGTATGGGGTGCTCGTGGAACTGGCGTTGGAAGAGTCTTGAAGGGTGGGAAGTTGAAACATTCAAGTCAAGCAGGCTGTCCAGGGTTTGCAGAGAACTGGATGTGACAGAGGATCAGGACAAGACATCTTGCCAGACATTGTCCCTGTGGAAAGCAGTGGCTCCCCTGACACTGTTGGGAGGATGAGGGATGTGGCTGTCTATACAAAGAGTTCTACATAAGCAAGCATGTGCTTTGTCACGTGTGTGTTTTCCATCTGACCACACCATGACGGCGGGTGGAAATTGTCTCTTCATATCTAGTCATCAAGCCCCACTGCAGTCCCCCCTCAGTCTCCGGTGGTTACCCAGGGATCCTGTACTCCATCTCAACATCTATGA